ACTACTTACAATGCTTCCAAAAACTTCTGCCCACGATTAGAAGGGACTATAAGGCAAGTATATAATAATCAGCCATAATATTTTTTCTGCATTCGTATAAAATAATAAACAACCCATAGCGAGGTTGCACGGTATCATTGAACAGTATGTTTCCAGATCTAACCGTTTTTCACACGGAAAACGTTTGGTTTGTCTAGCAAGAATAATTAGTCATTTTCCAGCTTATTGTTTGTTCTTTTCTTGGCCTATTGATGGTCAACTCACCCCCGGAGGAAGCAATCATGATAAAACGTCTCAAAATGCTTTTCCGGAAGTTAATGAATCATATGTCAAATCATTTGTTCATATAAATATCAAGGCAGAAATTTATTTAAAAATGAATGCTCAGACCTGTTTTATTCTTGGTTTAATTTGATAAGTTAAATTTTACATTCTTCCTACTAGTATTCTACAAAACTTTCAGCGGTAACACATTCATCTACTGGGAACGAGCAGCATAGATTGACAAGAGCAAAATTTGTTGAGGAGCATGAGGTGATTTCGTGTCATTTTCTTTTTCAAACTCTGTACGACGAGCACTCAAAATCGATAAGCTGCTGGATTTTGATTACCGTTAGTTGGCAATATGCCGGATTGCGTGGCTCCTTTGGTCAAAAGTGCTTTCTTTAGGTTGTCTGCATCAACGAGCTGCCATCGAGACCATATTGTCATCTTCTGGCACTCTGCCTCAAAATCAGCTGTTCGTTCCGGAATGTGATAAGGACGGCAAATTCACAAATGTACAGTGCAACGTTCAAAGATGTTGGTGCGTCGACGAGCGCGGTGTAGAGATCCCCGGGACCCGGAAGCCATCTGGAAGTGATCCAGACTGCTACCATCCTCGCATATGTGCCAGGCTCAACTGCCAAATGCAATGTCCGTTTGGCGTCACTTTAGATGACGACGGCTGCCAGATTTGCAAATGCCATGATCCGTGTCATGTAAATATCAGGAAACTAAAACTGCGATGCAGTATTTGTTTGCAGGTCATAAAGTGTCCGTATGAATTTCAAATATGTCGATTGGTGCAGGTCGAATGTTTATTGGAGCCATGTCTTCCGGTTCCAAAATGTAAGAATACAATTATATGCAGCAATAAAAAGCATTTGCTTGAAGGTTTACTTAACACCTGTCCTAAAGGAGAACCGTTCCGAGATCCGACTTCTTGGCTAGCGGTAAAATGTGATCCAAAAGTTTATGAAAGTTGTCCGCCGAATCACTTTTGTCATCTGGCTGGTTATCAGAGCTACCTTGGTGACTGCTGTAGTTTGCAAGGTAATGATAACAGTACTTTTTTCAGCAGTCCTTTGTGCAACGGATTTCGTTCGCCTCAAATAGGTACTCAGCGATTGATTAAGCAGGATGGCACATGTCCTGTCTTTCAAGCAGCCTCAACTGACAAGAAATTGTGCACCATCGAGTGTCGTTCAGATTACGACTGCGCTGGAAATGGCAAATGCTGCTTCAACGGCTGCGGCATGAGCTGCATTTACAACGAAGCGCTTACAAACAGGATATTGAATAAAATTGGCCAGTGCCCGAAACCATTAACAATACACTTGAAGAAGCCACAGTCGTCATGCTCATCGTCATGCGCTTCGGATCAGGATTGCGCCGGATCACAGAAATGCTGCAAATCTTCTTGCGGTGCTCAATGTGCCTATCCTGAAATTGCTACAGGTACAAATTCTAACTTGGGCAGATATTCTACATATCTAAAGACGATTATAATATCATCTTATACCGTAAACTATTGTGATGCACCATTATGATAGTATGAGATGACTGTA